AACATGGTTGCTTTGGATGATGGACTCTGGCATTATGCCTTGCTGAGGTCCCTCCCCAGGCTCCACCCCCAAATCTCCAGGAATTTCTCAACCTGGAGTTGGCAACCCTAACGGCCAACCTAAGAACACTTTCCTTGGAATACGCATCACTGAACAGACCTCTGTAGATTTGGAGCAGAGCGACTCACAGTAGCTATCTTAGCTAGCTGCACAAACTGGTTTCCATCCTTCTGCATATCTATGTTTCATTTCTGTGCTACCCGTCCTCCGCTACTGAGAAAATGGACTCAGTCTTTAAGGTGTCACTGGACTCCATCTTTTGATTTTACTCTGACAGCTTCCTCACTGCTAAATGATTCACTGATTACAAGTAATGAAGTTACACCATGCACAAAATGCTTAGTAGATGTAAAGGTTTGCCCTTGCTCAAAAGCCAGTCGAATCCAACTCTAGGGATGCGGTGCTCATCTCCGTTTCCAAGCCGAAGAGCCAGCGCTGTCCGAAGACGTTTCCGTAGTCATGTGGCCGGCATGACTGGACGCCGAGGTGCGTGGAACGCTGTTACCTTCCCACTGAAGCGGTACCTATTTATCTACTTGCAATTTCTTGCTTTCGAACTGCTAAGTTGGCAGGAGCTGGGGCCAGAGACGGGAGCTCACCCCATCATGCGGCACACTCGGGTCTCGAACTGCTGGAAAACTTGCCATTTTGCCTAAAAATAAGCACTATCATGCTGCCTGCCTCCTAACTGACCTTCCGGTCTGCTGTTCAGCGTCTTAACCACTTGAGCCGCCGCATCCCCTACAAAATGCTTACTGCATACTAATTATTAGAATTTACTATCATATAGCACATGAGAGTCCAACAAAACAATGTTACAAACAATTACTCAAAAGTATAGGCTTTCCAATCATTCAAAGATATCAAGTTTCACAAGGAAGGAACAATGAATGGTTAACACTTATTCCAAAGCTTATAAAGAAGCCAAAAAGGGTTTTTTTGGAGTTGCTCCCAGTATTTAACCGTGGACACTGTAGTCCAATTACAACATTCCAATAGACAATGGAGATGCTATCAGCGACAACATGAGCTCAAGATTTTCTGCATACTTCACAGCCTTCTGCCAGGTCGCGAATTATCAATGGAACCAATGCTCAAGAGTAATTATTTTGATAAGCAGCAAAAATGCGGTTAGTTCTCTCATTTGGCAAATAGTTTTACACTACCTGAAGAAATACACAGAGACACAAAAATACACAAATACCCTAACATTTGGGGCTTTTCTTTAAGAGGATCCTGCAACATGTACAGATTCCAGTAGGACAATTCTCCACCCTTAGAACTCCGGTTCAGGATCGACCAGCTCATGAATTATGACCAAAATGTCCCACTCCTGCCTGAAAACCCACACGCAAAGCCAGCCACTGTTAACATAGCAGGCAATCTAGCTGTTATACAACTACACTGATTTCCATGGAAGAGAGTTAAGCACATTGTTCCCTTGGGCTGGAAAGTACCAATACTCCCCTAAGAGAACTTGACATTTTGCCTAAAAATAAGCACTATCATGATTTTATATTCTTTTAAAAACAAACAAAAGGTATTAAATTCCGTCCAATGTCTTGTCATATTGTCTTACACTCTGATACGTAAACTGTATACTTCTCATAAATGCTAGTCAGTGATGGTCAAGTAGCTAACTAAGTTTGTATGCATTAAAATAGTCTTTTGTATTGACGTGTGACATTATGTCACTCTAAAGCTATATTTGTACTAGGACTGTTAGATGATTGTATTTAAGCGGGGGGGGTTCTTCTGTTTTGGGGTTTTTGTTTTGTTTGTTGATACTGGATCTTGATTTGGCAATGTATGAATTTACTGTGCCTTTGAAAAAAGTGCAACAAAAACAAAGTTGGAGGAAAGTCCCAATACTCCCAGTGTAAATTATACCTTCTTGTTTATTTTAAAGAGCACACACCCAAAGACATTAGAACTGGAAGGGCTGAAGTATTTGAAGGGCTGTCATGTAGGAGATGGAGCAGATTTATTCTCTCTTGCTCCGGATTGCAAGACTAGACCTAATGGGTGGAAATTACAACGGAGTCATTACCGGCTAAAGATCAGGAGAAACTTCCTAACTGTAAGAGTGGTTGGGCAGTGGAACAGTCTGCCTCGGGAGGTGGTAGATGCTCCTTTGCTGGACGTTTTCAAGTGGAGGCTGGACGACCATCTTTCCACAGTCACAACCAGGGGTCATTTCCTGCAGGAGCACACAGGAGCGGAGCTCCGGCAGTAAAGAGCCCAGGGGGTGGGCACATGCAACAAGCACCACCCCCTGCTCCCAGCAGCCCTCAGTCACAGCAAGAAGCAGCCAGGTAAGTTGCAGAGCTCCCACCCTCCGCTCCCTGGTCCAAAACAGTCCAGTGGCACCTTTAAGACCAAGTTTTATTCAGGTACAAGCTCTCCCTCCTCTGCGAGGACAGATCTGCACGTTCCCCCCCCCCAATAGCTAGCAATCCAAAACAGTCCAGTGGAGCCTGAGCGGTGGGTGTTGCCTTCTGACACACTTCCGGTGATGTCAGGGGGTGTGGCATATGCAAATAAGTTGTAGGTATGTAGGGCTATCTTTCAGCTGTGCTCCTGCAGAGTGCAGGGGGTTGGACTAGATGACCTGCGAGGTCCCTCCCAACTCTAACATTCTATGATTCTATGATAGAAGAAACGTCCCTGATTCAAATCCCAGCTTGGCCAATTAATTGAGCAAACAATCCACTCTCTCTTCATCAGGCTGTGATCCGCAATACGGGAACAACACTTCTAGGCTACCTAACATCACTTGCCCCAACCTGGATGGCCAGGCTAACCCAGTCTCATCAGATCCTGGAAGCCAAGCAAGGTCGGCCCTGGTTAGTACTTGGATGGGATACGACCCAGGAAGCCCAGGGTCGCTATGCAGAGGCAGGCAATAGAAAACCACCTCTGCTAATCTCTTGCTTCGAAAACCCTCTGGGGGCACCGTAACAGCCATGATGGCAGTTTCCACTGTCACAACCAGGGGTCATTTCCTGCAGGAGCGCACAGGAGCGGAGTTCCGGCAGTAAAGAGCCCAGGGGGCAGGCACATGCAACAAGCACCACCCCCTGCTCCCAGCAGCCCTCAGTCACAGCAAGAAGCAGCCAGGTAAGTTGCAGAGGCCCCCCCCCGGCCCCCCGGTCCAAAAGAGTCCAGTGGCACCTTTAAGACCCAGT